ATGATCCTCCCGCCTCGGCCTCCCTAAGTGCTCAGATTACAGGCATTAGCCACTGCACCTGGCTTACGTGTGACAGCTTTTAAACCTCACTGTTCTCTTCCTCTTCCCACTTCACATCTGGGTGACAAGAGAGCCTTGATGTTCCATCTTTTGGTAATGGTTGCAAGTTCAAACCATGCACAGGAAGCCTCAACCTGGTCCCATCCTCTAAACATCATGAAAACTCCAGGCCAGTTCTCCTTCCCCTGCATTCTCAAGTCATTTTGAGTCCTGCTTGGAGTCACCTTTCTCCCGAGAAGGGCTCATTATATGAGTACTATACTTTTTCATACCTTCTTAGTGTGAGGATGGCATTGAAATCCAGGACAATTTTTTGAGTGGGGGTCCATCTTGACTCTACAAAATCAGTGTTCTTCAGAATTCTGAATATTTTTCTCCCCATCATGTTCTACCTTCTGGAGTTGTTCTTCAGAAATCCAATGCCACTCATATTCTTGATTGCTTATGGCAACTGATTATTTTTTCCCTGGAAAACTAATAAATTTCTCCATCTTGAGGATTTAAACATCGTATAATGTTATAACTTCGCATTTTTTAAAAAATTTATTGTAGTGAGCACAGTTTGCACCAGCCAAATTTGACTCTCAGTATCTCCATTCATACTATTCAGAATCTGCATGGCTTTCAGCAAATATACTCATGACCATTTTTAATTCTAGGAAATTTTCTAGCTTTCTGTGCTTAATAATTTTCCTTCTGTTTATAATGTCTGAACTGCTGTTTTTCAGATATTAGAATCATTGGACTCATCTTTTTTCTTTTTAAAATAAGAACTTTATTGAGATATAATTCACATGTCATAAAATTCTTTTTTTTTTTTTTTTTTTTTGAGATGGAGTCTTGCACTCTTGCCTAGGCTGGACTGCAATGGCGTAATCTTGGCTCACTGCAACCTCTGCCTCCTGGGTTCAAGCAATTCTCCTGCCTCAGCCTCCCAAGAAGCTGGGATTACAGGTGCACACTGCCACACCTGGCTAATGTTCTGTATTTTAGTAGAGACAGGGTTTCACCGTGTTGCCCAGACTGGTCTTGATCTCCTGAGCTCAGGCAATCCACCCGCCTCAGCCTCCCAAAGTGCTGGAATTACACGTATGAGCCACCATGCCCGGCCAAAACTCACCCTTTTGAAGTGTACAATCAGTAGGTTTTTCGTATACTCATGGAATTGTGTCACCACTGACACTATTTCTATCTTTAATCTTCTCTTTCATGTTTGTTCAAATTATTGGAATATTTCCTTAAATTTATCATCCAATTCTACAGAATGTTTTTTGATTTCATATTTTTATTTTTTTAAATGAATTCTTTTAGTGCTGAATGCTTTTTATAGGAGCCTGCACTTGTTTCATGGACACAACATTTTTTCATCATCTTGATATTAATGATATGTGGCTTTTTAAAAGATTTATTTTTCTTGTATTGTCTGTGTCCTTCAAGTTTTTTTTTTTTTTTTGGATCTGTTATTTTAAATGTTTGCTTCAAATGTCTGGTAATTCTTGAATGTTCAAGAATGAGGTACCAAAATGGCATCATAACTAGGGCTTAGGAAGAAGTGGATTTTACTGAAGAGTATTTAGACAGGGACCAGGCCATACTGCCAGAACACACAAATTCCGCAGTCTTCTCCTGGGGACACAAGAGGAATCCTCTAATCTTCTAATTGGAATGTATTTGCCTGAGTGTGTTAGGGGTCTGGGGATGTCACATCAAAATATAAGACTTTCATTTAACTCCCTTCCTCCCTAGCCACTGCTAGTTTTCAGTACAGTATCCTTGAATCCAGTCCCTCTGCTTCAATATCTTAGACTACCAGGGTGGGAAGAAGCATAGTTGCCTGGCCATAGTGTGTTAGGGAAAGGATCAAAGCATCTAACTGCTACTTTTAAAGAGTCCAAAAAAAAATATTTTTTTAAAGATTTCCTCCAGGAATATGTAATGCCTCTAATTCCTGAATCTTTAGCCTGAATCAGTTTGTTTCTTGGTTTGTCTCTACTCTAGATGCCTAGTTTTCAGCCTTTTTTTTTTTTTTTTAAGATTTGTTAGGTCAATTACAATTCATTAATCTACCTTCCAAATTCCAAACTTTCATTAATTATCTCTTTCAGTTGAGGTCTCTTCTTTTTGAACCTATGGCTTTACAACATTTTTATGCCTTTATTGACGTCTTAGTAGGGTTTCAGAAAAGAGAAGTAAATGTGTATTCAATCTTCAACATTAAATATAAATCCTTAATTTTTCAATGTGTTATAAAGTTACTAGATTCTGAGGTAGAATTAAAACAATAAATCATATGTCATATGTTAACTAGAATTCTGTGGGCTGCTCAAAACTTAGCCCATCACAATATTTTATTGTGGGAAAAACTATTTCAAGTTTCAAATATCAATTAGCAAATGAACTCTTAGAATACAAGCAGTTTGTAAGTTAGTTTATTCCCTATTTCCTTATACCTTTCAAACATCAACTTGATAAACCTAGTAATCAAGGACATTTTTCATATATTTAAACTATGATTTTAGAAAATACTGATTATGGTTAAACAGTATTTTCTCTAACTAAAGTACAAGACCCAACCAACAAGCATCTGAAACACTCGACAATTATCTGAACCTGTATTATCTTTAAAACTGTATTCCAAGCATGGGATAGGAAGATAAAAGGTAGTGCTAATTCTCAATGGCTTTAAAGCCATTTTCCTCCTTTTCAAGAGTAAAAGACAGACAAAAACAATTACACTGTGGTTTTGAGTATTTTGACAGAAGTATACAGAGTGCCACAGAACTACCAGGATAGAACAAGTCACCTAGAAAAAGAGAACAGGTCAGGAGAGGATTCCCAGGAGAAATGGCTCCTGAATTTATTTTTGGAAAAGTTAATAAGGCAAAGAAGGGAGAGTAAGGAGAGAAAAGCATTTCCTGAGCACATCCTATGTTCTTTTGCACTGCACTCTAGGAAATATTCCTCTAGTCTATTTTCTAGCTTACTAGTTTTAGCTGAATTAATTCCAATATTAGGCTCTTTTGTTAAGTTTTTAATCTGATAATATTTTTAGTTCCCAGGGACTATAATTTTTTTATAGCAGCCTGCTATATTATGGATTCAGTGGCCTCTTGTATCTAGAGATATTTAGTTTTGTTCCATTTCCTCAAATGTTAGGTCTGTTTGCTGCATTTGTTGTCTCTTTTCCATAGAACTGGTTTTCTTCAAAAGTTTGGTTATTCCTCATTGTCTTATTCATGTCTCTGAGAATCTGTTTATATGGCAGTAAGTAAAAATTATGAAATAGTGGCTTGCTTCTGGAGATTTTGGAAGAGTGATGAGACATTCTGGGAACTTGTGTTCTAGGTGGAGATGTCCTGTATTTTCCAGGTATTATAGGTTACATGGGGACACTGCCCTAACTGGCCAGTGTCCACACTGGAAGTCTGCCGTATCAGAAGTCCCACTTCAGAGAGGCATACTAACTTTATTATGGAGTTAACAAACATAAGAATTGCCTATGTCTTTTACTTTTTTCTTCCTCTGCTATCATGTGGCAGTATGGAGTTAATTCAGACTCTCCTCTGTTTTTTAACCTAGCCCCAACATTCACCCATAAGAGCCAGCTCCCCTGATTGTTCACTTTGCTTGGGGTAATTCTCAGGGTCTTCTCCTGGCAGCAGGCACTGGTAGCTGCCAGAGTTTCCAATATAAGAAGGATATAATGAAAAAGGGACCAGATATTTCAAATATAGTTCTTAGCCCATCACCTTGACAATTCCTTCAAGACCTCTTCTATTACAGTCTTTTGCATTTACTGATCAAGGATTTAGTGTATTTCTAGAGCTACTTTTACCACTGCAGTGGTTTTTTTCTGCTCTTGATATGTTCACCAATCTTGTCTCATTTGCTTTTAAGAATTCCTCTGTATTTCTGATGTGCTGGTGGCATCCTTGTTTTCAAAATAATTTTGATTATACCAATATGCAGATGGCTCACAAATTTCTATCTCCAGCCCTCCATATCTAACTACCTGTTTGATATTACTACTTAGTCATCTTAAATGCACTCATAACTTAATATACTAAAAACTGAATTTCTATTCTTTTCCTCAAACCAGCTTTTCTTTCAGTGAATGGTACTACCTTGTATCCAGTTATACAAGCCAGAAACAGTAGTCATCTTTGACACTTCCATTGCCTTCACTATTCATTTGCCAAATCCTGTCTCATTACCTAAAACAACCATCGTATCAACAACCTTCTTTCCATTTCCAGTGTCACCATCCTAGTAGAAGGTGAATGATTTCTCCCCTAAACTACTTGAACAGCCTCTTAACTGCACTCCTGATTCTTTCCAGTCCTTCTTCCACACTGCAGCAAAAGTGATCATATCACTCTCTATTAAAATGACTTCAATGACTTCCTGCTACTCTGAATATAAACATCAATTTCTTTTTATGTAGACTACAAGGCTATGCAGGGCCTCAAACTGGTTATCTAATCCTGTCTTACAATCACATTTCCTCCCACTCTCTGTACTGCAATCATACTGGCCTTCTTCAGTTACTCAACACATAATGCTCAGTCTCACATTAGAGGTTCCCTCTGCCTGAATTTCTCTTTACTCATCTCTGCAAAGTTAATTTCTACTCTCCTTCAGATGTTAATTCAATTACCATTCCCTCATGGAAGTCTTCCCTAATTTCTCTAACTAAACTCAATTACTCACACTCAAGTCAATCTCTTTTATAGTGCTTATCACAACTGTAATATCACATTTACTGGCATGTGCCTAAAGGCTTTCAGGATGAGATCTACAGCACAGTCAGAAGGATTCACTTTGGAGAAGGAAAAAGACACCTCTTCCACTGAGATGGGAAGATGGGGAGAGCTATGAATGGATGCTTATGTTTGGAGGAAAGAGAGAAAGCTGAGGGAGTTCACATCAGACAGTCTTACCTGATACTAGTTCGCTATTTGGTGAACTACTATCAACCTGGAGGGCATCAGTAACTGATTCCTAAGGGAAATAAGAATTAAAAATACAGCAAAATTATGAGATTGACCATTTTTATATTATAATCTTGTACCATATTGATTTGATTAGCTTGGAAACATCAACTTGGATATGTTTCACATATATAATATTTTCATTCAGTTTATTGTTCAGATTTAATCTGATATTTAACATTAAACCTAAAAATAAATATTAAATTATAATACTATGAGCATATCTTGTAAACAACAATATGCTAGTCAACTAACTACTGTGGGATGACAGCAAATAGAAGACAGAGGTGAATACTTTTCTGGTTCCTTCATGGGGAGGGGCTTTTTTTTCCATCTATAGAGGGAAATATATAAATCAAAATAAAAAAAAACTGTTAAGTCTAAAATACTAGAAATTAAATTAAAGGCAAGTAAACAAATATGGAAACGTTGGTTATATATGTGTGTACAAAAGTATAACTATCTTTAATATATAATAGACATTTCACAAAAAAGTACAAATGGCCAATAATTTGAGAAAAAAAAATCAACTTCCCCAGCATTCAAAGAAATGAAAAGTAAAACAACATGCTACTTTTCATCTATCTATCTATCTATATTTCACATACACACACACACACATATATATAAAAAAGTTTCAGGTAAGTTGGTGCTGATTTATCAACATGAATCAAAAACTTGAAACATGATCCAACCTCTGATCCACTGCAAAGTATTTATCTTAGGGTAACAATGTGAGGTACAACAAAAAATTTTTGTAACAGAATGTCTATGGATATCAATAACAGCAATACCTAGGACACAATCTCAATTTCCCAACCACAGGGAAACAGTAATACAAATTACAGTATATCTATCTACAAAGCAAAACACTATGAAGACACTAAAGATCACATTTTTGAAGACTATTTAATGTATGAGAATATACAATAAGACAATTCGTAAGTTTTTTTTAAAGAACAGGGAAAAAGGAACAGAAAGAAATACATTAAAATTTGAAGAAACTTTCAAAACACTATTTTTGTATAGTGTAAATACAAGGACTATTTTACACTGTTAAAGTATGGGATAAAAGCCTTTTTTTTTTTTGAGACGGAGTTTCACTCATGTTACCCAGGCTGGAGTGCAATGGGGCGATCTCGGCTCACCGAAACCTCCGCCTCCTGGGTTCAGGCAATTCTCCTGCCTCAGCCTCCTGAGTAGCTGTTTTTTGTTTTTTTTTTTTTAAAGAAATGCCTTGTGTTGAAACTGCCTTTCCCAAGAAACATGTTATAAAGGAATTATTAAGTTAAAAAAAATAGAACTTGGCCAGGTGCGATGGCTCATGCCTGTCATCCCAGCACTCTGGAGGCTGAGGTGGGTGGATCACTTGAGGCCAGGAGTTTGAGACCAGCCTGGCCAATCTAGAAAAACGCCGTCTATACAAAAATTAACTGGGTGATGGTGCATGCCTGTAGTCCCAGCTACTCAGGAGGCTGAGGCAAGAGAATCGCTTGAACCCTGAAGGCAGAAACTGCAGTCAGTGAGCCAAGATTGCACCACTGCACTCTAGCCTGGGTGACAGAGCAAGGCTGTCTCAACAATAAAAAAGGGAACTATGAAGTTTAATGCTAATGTCAGATGAGTCAAAAGCAATTTTTAAAATCTGAGTTTCCCTAAATTAATGCTGTATAGTTTTAAAATATAGTACAGAATTCATATTAAATACAGCACATCAAGAAGTTATATATTCTAACGAATAAACATTAGAATGCTCTGCTACATATTAAAAAATATGAATGTTTCCAATTGTTAATGGAAAATCAAATGGAAAACATGAAAAATTAGTTATTAAGTAACGTTTTGTATTTCTCATACAGAAAATTCACCAATTATGAACGTTTCTCCAAAACTTGTCAAAGGAAAGAGAAAAATAAAACTGTATGACTATAAATCTACCCCAAGTCATAAATTCGATGCCCTGTCTAAAGACACATCAGTGTTTATAAAAATACTGGAGAGCTGTGTAACATCTACTGAACAAAGAACGTTTTATTCTTTCATCTGGAGGTACATCAGATACTGAGAGTCTCTACACTAAGTGTACCCAAGGACTAAATGAGAAACATACATACACTCAACGGTGCAATCTTCTCATCCTGGGTGTCTTCACTAGACCTATTTTCTTGTAGGCTTTTCTCTCCTGTAACTCTTAAACGAGGGCTAACAAACAAACAACACAATTAGTTTGCACCATTTGGACTTGGCTCTCCCTGTCTCTACTCAGATTGTTCAGAATCTGAAAGGCTCTTTAGGGACATCTTTAGGAAGAAGTAAGGACCAGAGTGGTGACTTGCACCAATACCCAAATGCAGTGACACAATCACAGCTCACGGACCAATTTATCTCACTTCCTTTTATGTAAATTGGCAAGCCTTCCCCCACCTCTTTTTTTTTTATTGCCCATTAACTATGCAATGTTATCCACCATAACTCAGGGAAGCTTTCCCCTTTTTAAAAATAAATCTTTCTGCAGTAAAATTTTGGGGTCTATTTTCTGAGAAGAGCGAAATCAGAGTACTGTTATTTGTTTTCTTCACTGACTGTTAGAATAAAAGGCTACTAGCAGAAAATTCGGACTGAAGTTTTCTGAGGCGGCCAGCCAGGGTGGGGCTTTTACTCGAGGCTACGTACCTGGGCGGCCCAGAGCTGCTACCTCCCCGGCTGCTCCGCTCTGTTTTCTCTGCAATGTTAGGCAACCCATGCGCCTTGCCTTTTCTCTTCGAACCTGAGAGAGGGCAGCATGTTTCGGGGCAATATCCCTGGAAACCCACCCACAGGCTTCAGGGGGGCCCTGAGCCCGAGGCCTAGCACCCCCGCCCGCCCTCAGTCCCGCCCGCAGGGCTGCTTGGCGAGGCTTACAGTGAGCGAGCCTTGAGCCTGGACCTGGTGGGGACTCTGCCTTCGCGGGAGAGCCTAGGTCTGGCGTCGGGGTGAGATTGAGCCTTTGACCCGCCCGCTTTTTGCGGGTATACACCCGTAGCGACCACATTGATATCCCACCCTTCTCCCAGGCCTTGGGCGTCTCTGGACCCTCAATGGCCTGCCTTCCAGAGGATCTGGGCTAAGTCCCAGGGAGTCGGCGTCCAGGCTAGGCCCGCGGAGCAGCCCCTCAGCAACTTATCCGGCTAAAACAAAATCCCCAGAACTACTGCCGCCGGCCCCGCTCCCGCCTTTTTATCTCTGCGAAGCCGCGCAGAGGCTTCTGGGAAGGCGGAGGAACTAAGCAGCCGCGCAGCCTCCTGAAAGGGCCACTGGTGTAGGCTCCCTCAACGCCAGCGAAATGGGAGTTTTTTGGAAAAAACTTTTTCCTCCTCCAGGAGAAGGTTAATTCAGCCCCTCTTCTCGGTCTGAGCACTTAGGTTTCCCCTGTAGCTGCATGCTTAATTCATCTGGGCATGCAGGAGTAAAGGCGTTCCCTCCTTTGGATGGGCCCAACACCTCCTCGGAGCGAGCTCTTCCTATCAGCGCTGCATAAGGCCTAGCAATGGACTTTTAGGCCACGAGTACAGGCAGTCTTTTGAGGGGTCAACCTCAGTGCAGGAAGGTCACAAAGAGGATTGAATGCACCTTAAAGTGCCAAGGAGCTTCTCCCTGAGGAATCAACTTCAGTCCCCTGAGCCTTCAACTTACTGGGAGGCTATGGTAATTAAGAGTCTAACCAAACCTCTGAAGATCCCCGGCTCTAGGAGGCTGCTTCTGGGTGACAGAGTCCCTTAGCCTGTGTCCAGGATCCATCTCTGGACATCTGGGCATCCTTGTGGTTAAGGTAGAAGATATCATAGGGGCTCTCTTTCTAGTGCCCTGGGCCATAACTTGTTGCTACACCAGACCAATCTGTTTCAACCTTTTTTTTTTTTCTTGTTTTTTGAGACAGGGTCTGGCTTGTCACCCAGGCTGGAGTCCAGTGGTATAATCATAGCTCACTGCAGCCTCAAACTCGGGGCTCAAGTGATCCTCCCACCTCGACCTCCTGAGTAGCTAGGACTACAGGCACATGCCATCGTGCCCAGCTGATTTTAAATTTTTTTTTTTTTTATAGAGACAGGGTCTTGCTATGTTATCCCCACTGGTCTTGAACTCCTGGTTTCAAGTGATCTTCCTTGGCCTCCCAAAATGTTGAGACTACAGGTGGGAGCCACCTTGCCCAGCCTTGGTTCAACTTTTATGTAACAAAGTTGTGAGTTGTTTTTCAGTTGCCATGAACCCTCAAGTCATGTAACCTGAGCATGCTGCCTAGATGAACCAAGCATGCAGCCAGAGGGGAAACCAAGTGCTCAGATCAAGGAGGAGGGCATCAAGCAGGATCCTGGATGGGATGAAGTCAGAGTTCAACCTGGTTGGATTCTGCCATGTCATATCTGCTTGATTTCTTTAGCCAAAAAGATCCTTGGAGATGATCTAGATGCCCCCTCATTTTGCCACTGAGGAAACCAGAGTGTAGGGAAGCTATTTAAAAAATGATTGGCATAGGGAACATGGTTCTCCTGGCATCTGGCTGCTGTACTTGTCATACTCCCGTTCTTCCTAACACATGCCAGGGAGAAAGGCAGGGGGAACAAAGAGAGGAGCTTGAATTCCTCGGTAGCAAGGGGAGGTGAAGGAACTAGAGACAGAGTTGGTCTCTTTGACACTTCACTTGGAGTCAACCTATAAGGGGGGAATGAAACATGTCCCCTACGAAAGGATGAGGTAGGGCAGAGATACCTCAAATTCAGTCATCTCTCTCCCCGTACTCCACTTCCAAATACACAAACACCAATACAAGTGTTCAGTTATGAGTGTTAAACTTCTTCTATTTCCCCATTGCACTGCTTCCACACCTAGACCCAGAACTCAGTAATCAGCATGTCAGTTCAACACATGGTGGATTTGACTACGTTTAAAATGGTCATGGAGATATTAACTTCCATGGGAAAACAAATGTCAAAGAGATTTCTTAACATATCTTTTGGGAAAACAGCCAGTTTGTGGGTTTGGGATTCCCTGGAGTCCAAAGGAAATGTTTTTGAATGGTGTTTTCTTATGGAGTAACCCACTGAGCATCTTTGTGGTGTTTATTTTTGCTTGGATGATAAGAATGGAATAAATTACAGTGATAGAGGAAATGTACCTTCAGGTATTGCAGTTTTAATGTTATGCAACTTATGAAAAAGACCAAGTGGATTTTCCTTCAATAGGCATTTCTTTAGCATATACTATGAGCCAGAGCTGCACTGGGCCTAAAACTTCAAGCAACTCAGTCTAAATGGGGGTGGGGCAAAGGGACCCTCAACCAATCAACCACATGAGAAGTTTCTCAGAGAAAAGGATGCTGAAATCTGAGTTTTAAAAGATGAATAGTAGGAGTTAGGCAGGGAAATTAGAGGAAAGGGCATTCTAGGAGAAAGGGACTATATGTGCAAAGGCATGTCGGCACAGGAAAGTATGATGCTTTTAGGGATCTACAAAAAGTAATTGGTATGATTGGAGCTGAGGCTCCATGGAGGAAGGAGGTGCTAGTTATTGAGTGCTGAACCAGGGAGTTTGACCTTTATCCTGGCAACCATGGGAAGTCACTGAAGGACTATTAAGCAGGAAAACAGCATGACTAGATTTTCAATTTAGAAAGATTGCCCTGGCTGAAACGTGGGTGGGGAAATTTGAGGATGCTGGGGTGGAAACATGAAGGCTAGTTAAGAAAGCAATGTAATAGTCCAGACAAGAGATAAGAGTGGCACAAACTACAGTGACGGCTGTGACAATAGGGAGGAATGGATGATAGCAAAAATATGGACAAGGCAGAATCTGCATATCTTGGACACAGCAGAATTCATCATTTTATGAAATTGTATCCATTATTCTGAATATGAGTAAAATACATGGAAATGGTAAAGGCCATCATGATGGAAAATTTGGAAGATAGTTATTTGTTATGTATTCATAAAAATAATTTAAATCCAGGAGTTATCTGACAATAGCAAAAGTTTCAGCAGAGGCCTGGGCAAAGGAGCTCCTCTCTGGATGCACCATAAGTTCTTGGAGTTTGTGGAACTTTAACAGAGGACACAGAGTGTGGATGTAAAGTATACTTATTGGTAATGTAGCTTGATACTATGTTTACCACAAGCACTGTGATTGATAATTACCAAATATACTCACGTGAGGGGATTATGTTATATAAATATATAAAATAGTAATTATAAACAACTTTGATAAATGAAAAATCTTTTATTTTTTACAAAAATTTTCATAAATGCATTTTATATTTGATATGCATGCTATTATAACAAAGCAACTGAAAATATAATTACAGTTAAGATACTTTTATGCATATTTAAAAAGTAATATTTTAATCCCCTCAATTTTTAAAAATTGAAAGTAGAATAAGCAATTCTTCAAAAAATATCTATTTTCCCTCATGCAACCGTTGCAATGATTTAACAAGGAAAATTAGAATAATCACTCAAATGAATGTTTAAAAGCCACTGTCACCACATGAAACCCTTTCCATTTAGGACCAAGTTTAGAAATGCTCATTTAAAAAACTTATTTACTGCCTCTGTGTTACAACCATTAATGTGTTCTAACTGAAGAGTTTCTCATTTGGGGTACTGACCTTGCTTGAATGCTAAACCACTTCTTACTGCAGCTAATTGCAGATTCACAGAAAGGATTTTCTAGCATACTTGAGAGAAAATTCAGACCACTAGGGTACTTTTTTCTTTTCATGTAAATGCTTCCTTAAAATTATAACTTGCAAAGAAATACAGCCAATTTTATATACGATTATTCATTCTTTTTTTCCTGAAATATTAAGCACATTTGTAAGCAGTCTGTTTTCATGCAAAAATATATTTTCCCATTCTTTACATTCATTTTAAAGTATTTTATATTTTAAGTAACTATATCACATTTGTGCTTCATACATGTGGAAAATAAAGGATACTTCATTTTCTTTACTGCAGAAAAAGAAAAGGTTATTGGTTCTTCGATAGGTAATAAAATCAACTTAAATGCTGATTTGAAGTTGCTAAAACATTACCTGATTGTAAAAAATTCCAATGGAAAGTTCTATTTTTTTCATATTTGTAGTTTTAACTAAATTTAGAATGAAATCATGACTTGAGTAAATGTGGATTTCTGACTTTTTGAGTTCCTAATGCATGGGGCTAGGCCTACCTACTACACCTGACCAGTCTCCTCTCCCATTTGCAAGGGAAGTCTCACTATTATATAAAGACATCTTCCACAGCAAAAGGAAAAACAGATTTGGTATATATTTTATAATATACACAAAGGACCTGTTTGCAAAATATGAGAATTACTAACACATTTTAACAACAGATAAAAAGGCCAAACATTCAAGAACATATTTACACTTAAGGAACTGATTCTCTGTTATATTTCTGGCTTAAATAGGATCCAATGCCCAATATGAATGTGACCATCATAAGTACATGACCTTTTTCTATCTTTGTTCATGAGAAATAAAAAAATTTTTCTCCTCCAGAATAACGTTGGGAAATCTGAAGCAAGAAGGATTTTTCCATTGATACATAGGGTTTCATTTCTCATTTATTACAAAATTAAGTGGCATTAAACAGAGAAATAGATAAATGTACATGCAATATATTTAGGGTCCACTATTTACTTTTCTCAGCACATCTGAACTAACTCATTTATTGGCCCAAGTGTAATGATTTCCACATAGACCTGGAACTCTAGAAATATAAGATCTTTTAAGTGGCAAAAAGAAATCTTAAGTTGTCCATAATCAATCATATCTATTATAAAGTATAAATAAAACAAAATAAGTTTTAAATTATTTATGTCACATTGTTCAAAATTCTTTTGGGACTAAAGCCAATTATGAAATTTTAGTTGAGTAGGAGGACAATGGTAACAGCTTCTTTCTTTGTTATTGAAATGTAAGGAACTTTCCCTTAAAATAGTATGAATATCCAGTTCAGGTAACAATTTTCACTTTTAATTAGTCAAAAATATATATTAAATATAAAAATCTATTGCTACACAGACGTTACCTTGGACATTTTAAGTATTAGTTTATTCAGAAATGCCTTTAAAAATCAGTGTGCATAGAACTAGCTCATTTATTAAATGTCAAATTTATAAGTGCAACAGTGGGTCTTCAGAGAGAATATGCCCAAAGAATATT